CGAACTGGTACTCCTCGCGACAGCACCTCCTTGGCCAATTCCTCTGAGGAAGGACCTCCTTTCTCAGAGACGGGGCACCCTATGGCACCCTCGTCCCGATCTTTGGAGACTCCACGTGTGGCTCCTGGATGGGACGAGGCAGGTTTGAGTACCCTGCCACCAGCGGTGGCGGCTACCATCACTTCCGCTAGAGCATCGTCCACGAGACATGTCTATGCGTTGAAGTGGAACCTCTTCGTTAACTGGTGCTCTTCTCGCCGAGAAGACCCCAGGAGATGCTCGATCAGCGTTGTGCTTTCCTTCCTGCAAGACGGGTTGGAGCGAAGGCTGTCTCCCTCCACCCTGAAGGTGTATGTGGCCGCTATCGCCGCATATCACGAAGCAGTTGAAGGTAAGTCTCTTGGAAAACACGACCTGATCATCAGGTTCCTGAGAGGAGCGAGGAGACTGAATCCTCCTCGCCCTCCTCTCGTTCCCTTTTGGGACCTCTCAGTGGTCTTAAATGCCCTGCAGAGGGCTCCCTTTGAGCCTCTGCAATCAGCTGAGCTTAAGATCCTGTCAATAAAGACAGCGCTCCTGGTTGCGTTGGCCTCCATCAAGAGGGTAGGGGACCTGCACGCATTCTCCATTGACGAAGCGTGCCTGGAGTTCGGGCCCGGTCACTCTCACGTGATCCTGAGACCCCGGCCTGGATATGTGCCCAAGGTTCCCACCACTCCCTTTCGGGACCAGGTGGTGAACCTGCAAGCGCTGCCCCGGGAGGAGGCAGACCCAGCCTTGGCACTGCTCTGTCCAGTACGCGCACTCCGTGCTTACGTAGACAGGACGCAGTGTTTCAGGACCTCAGACCAGCTCTTTGTCTGTTATGGTGGGAAGCTGAAGGGAAAGGCTCTCTCCAAGCAAAGGTTATCCCACTGGATAGTGGACGCCATTGCTTTGGCATACCAGCAGCAAGGTCAACCATGCCCCCTTGGTGTGACCGCCCACTCCACCCGGAGTGTGGCGTCCTCTTGGGCTTTAGCGCGTGGCGCCTCGCTGACAGACATCTGCAGAGCTGCAGGCTGGGCGACACCTAACACATTCGCCAGATTTTACAATCTCCGAGTGGAGCCAGTCTCCTCCCGTGTACTGTCTTTTTCAAGCTAACACGGGAACCGTTAGGTGTCTCGCTTGCTTGCCACTCCACTCCACGGACTGGATACGTGCGATATTTCCTCAGGTAGCCTTCCTCTCTGAAGCCCTGAGTTCCTCCAGCACTGTTGACGCTGGCACCAGTGTCTATTGCCTGTGCGTCAGCTAGGTGCCTCCGTGTGCATGGTTCCTCCTCCGAGCAACCCCCACATGTGTATTTCCACTGTAAGCCTCCTTGAGCATGTGTCTTTCCCTCGGCAAGCCACCTTGCCACTCCTGGAGTTGAAAGTAGATGCCACCCTACGGGCTGGTCACTCCAGTGTTCCTCCATATGAAGCCCCCTCGGCCCATATGTGTATTCTTAAGTCCTCCCTACGGGCAGGCATGCTGCGGCATATCTCCCCTGAGATATGCTTCCCAGTGTACCTTGGTATTTCTGTGTTAAGTAGGACTCCTTCGTCCGTGCCTATATCACGACAGGGAGGTCAGACTTCGCAGGGCACTGGAAGACAGCTGTGAAGGTGGCGTGATTACACGGGGACCCCCATTCTCCGTCATCCGACGTAACTCGGAGTGACTACGAAAGGGTTACGTCTCCGTGCCACTTCCGCTGTACCGCTGGGTCGACGCCTGAGTTCAGTCTCGGCTCCTCAGCGAAGACATGATCTGCTGTTGCAGGTGTCTCTCCTTAAATACCCACGCGGTGGGGCGGAGATACATTATGCAAATTCCGCAGACCCATGGCATTTCTTTGCCATTGGCTCGTTTTTTAATACTCGAAGAGGATTGGCTTTCTGGCGAAACCCCCATTCTCCGTCATCCGACGTAACGTCTCCGTTCCCTACTCAGGGAACGAGGGTTACATCCGTAACCGAGACGTTTCCTAACTGCTAACATTAAACATTTCCTGTACTGAACTTAGACGCCAACCCATTTTCTGCTCAATACAATTCATCTGATGGTCTCAGATTTCCACATATAACTGCTGTGGGTTAAACTAGGCCAAGCTTTCATGTGAATAACACAATTTAAACATGGTAGCCAACAAGATTAACTAGTACTAGTACAAATGGACCTCCTTCGATCTGACATTTGATTAAGTTTTGTGCCCTAGGTGGTCTTGCTGTGTCAGGTGAATCATTGACTGTGAATAATCAGGTGATGTCAGAGCTCCTGTAGTAAACGTCATCATTCAGGTACTTATCTGAGCATGAGATCAATGGTACACTACAAAAACCACAAGCATGTAAACTGATGGACAGCTTTCCCTTATTAGTTGTCAACTGTAATCACTTATAAAGACTTAAATATGGGTCAGAAAAGTATTTTTCAAAAAGGCGACGAGAAAGAAATAGTTTGGCCCGAACACAATCTTGTTAGCAGGTGATTGTCACATAACTAGGTTAAGGAATGGCTCTGAGTGTCCTGTCCAGATGGTTTGGTGTATGGTGGCAGGAGGTGTGATATAGGAGCTGACAGACTAGGACTCTAAAGATGGATGGCAGGTTCAATTGAGGATCAGCACATCTTTAAATATTCAGCCTGGGCTATCCTTCCTATACTTTAACAGAGAGGGAGAGAGAGAGAGAGAGAGAGAGAGAGAGAGAGAGAGAGAGAGAGAGAGAGAGAGAGAGAGAGAGAGAGAGAGAGAGAGAGAGAGAGAGAGAGAGAGAGAGAGAGAGAGAGAGAGAGAGAGAGAGAGAGAGAGAGAGAGAGAGAGAGAGAGAGAGAGATAAATGAGCACAGAGGGTAGAAATTAATGGAATCCAGAAAGAAACCGGGAAATCTGAGGGAATTAGCAAACCACCTGAGTGTGAGCTGCTAAAATTCATATTCTTAACTCATTTGTGTCTTATTTTCCAGTTCAAATATCTAAACATTTTACAGTAAGATAAAATACATTTCTATTAATGATGCTCTCTCTGAAAACAAGTGAATGAAATCTTGCAGTGTTGCTTCTCAACATACTGTATATCTGGATTCATGGATATTTTTATTGTAAAACAAATTAAAGGACCAATTAAAAAGTCATTTTGAAGTCATTTTAGTGTGAATGATAGAGAGACTGACTGAACTAAGTTAACAAATAAAGTGAATGAGTGAATAAGCGAGGAAGCGAGTTAATGAATGACTAAAGGACCCCCAAAGCAAATGTGTTTAAATGAATGTGTGAGTGAATGAACAAAAAAAAAATGCGAATAAATACAGTGAATAAGAATGTGAGCACATGGGTAAATGCATGAATGATGGGTATGAGTGAGTGAGTGAGTGAGTGAGTGAGTGAGTGAGTGAGTGAGTGAGTGAGTGAGTGAGTGAGTGAGTGAGTGAGTGAGTGAGTGAGTTAAAGGTGCAGTAAGCAATTTCTGAAAAACACTGTTGAAAAGTAGATTGGACCGAGCACCACAACAAACTTGTAGCCAATCAGCAGTAGGGGCCGTGTCCACTCATGATGGGGGAGGAGAGAGAGTGAGATTTGAAGAAAGACTGTTGAAAGAGAGATGGCTGAGAGACATTACAAAAGAGAAAAGGTCAAAGGAATATCTCTTCTAATATAGAAGGGTTATGATCAGGCAAGAGCTTTAAGACCCATGTTAATATTAAAAAAGCTTTCCAGTGCTGGAGAGACCTGAAAACGGACACAGAGGTTGAGTATTTCTGCTCCATACGTGACTTGAGTAACATTGGTTTTAAATATGTGCTATTGACGAAAAAAAAAAAAAAAACCTTTTGCTTGTATATACTCTTGTAATGTATGTCAATTTTTTGTTCTTCCTTGTCATTCATTCAACATCTTCGCTTTATTTTTCGCAAAGCTCTATTTTGCTTCGCTTCTGCTATGATAACGAGACATCCACTCTTACATTGCATGTTCGTGCATTTAGGGGGCGGAAGGGAAGTTTGTTTGGGTTGATTTCAAATATCATTCTCAGAAATCGCTTACTGCTTCTTTAATGCGAGTAAACAAATGAGTGAGAAAGTGACAGAGTGAATATGAGTGTGAGTGAGCGAGTGATGAAGAGAGACAGAAAGCAGAGTAACAGAGTGAGAAACCCAAAGAAAGAAGGAGCCCAAAGCAAGTGTGCGCTTTGATTCAGTGTGAGTTGTGATTGTTCTCGGTGTAGAAGACGACGCTCTCCAGGGTGCTGCTGATAACAGTTTCTCCTTTCTTTCTTTCTTTCTTTCTTTCTTTCTTTCTTTCTTTCTTTCTTTCTTTCTTTCTTTCTTTCTTTCTTTCTTTCTTTCTTTCTTTCTTTCTTTCTTTCTTTCTTTCTTCCATTATTTATCCCTGACTGCCATTCGCCTTGATATTGACAGACAGTTCAATCACCCCTCAGCCAAACAACCCTCCGATCCTGCGGCCTGCTCAAAAATACAGTCTGAAGAGGTGATGTAACACACTATGGGAGGGATGCCTCTGTGCCGAAGCAGATAAGACTGAAGAGGGTGGGGAACGCTGGCCTGCGGCTGCCATGGGGTGTGAGGGGGAAATCCCAGCACCAAGATTAAATCCCACAAACCAGAGTTAATCTCCCCTGCCCTCAGGAAACACACACACACACACACACACTCACTGGATTAATCACATCAGAGGGCCAAGCAGGGGAATTCTCTGACCCCCATTAAACTACAGGATGGCACCAAAGCCGCCGCTGTGCACACGACCATCTACGTGATGTATTGCACAAGCGCTGACTCAACGTCACACTGAGATATGTGTCACACATATTCTACAAAACGACACTGGCATAGATTGAGATGTTCATTTAACACGGAGAATGATCCACATTGGCTGAACGACCTGAATTTGATCCAGCATTTCCTATAAAAAGGCTTGTTAACCATGAAAAATGACCATCTAATGGACTTACCTTGAAACTGGGTGAATTTTATGGTTCCCATGCGTTCCCCGTTCCTGAACATCACCTGACCCTGCAAAAAAAAAAAAAAAAAACACAGCGAACAACCTTCACAAGAGCTGCTTATCACGTGTAAATGGACAGTTTGCAGAAGTCTTGATTGCACAGTTGAGATGATTAATATCATGGCACATAATCCAAGTTGGACAGATATATTTTACAAGGATCGATTTTCCATCTTGTTGATATATCCTTCACTCTTGGCACAGCAACAAATTGGGAGTGTATAGCTTGAAGTCTGGCCCAGTGCTTGTTTTTTGGCTCATTTATTAGTTTAAAGATCTTTGAATTGATCACATTCTTGAGGCAAACATAATTAATAGCAGCACTATTGATTTGTTAAATTAGAGGAGCGCATGGAGGTCTGAGATGGTTGTCAGGTTGTGCCAGGTTACTGGTTCACAAATACAAAGAAAAAAAAATCCAGAAAAAATATAACATATACATTGTTATATAATATAATATAAAGTGTTAAATTGCTCAGGTCCATGCATAAAATAAAATAAAATAAAATAAATAAAACTAAATATTTTTTTATTGTTGTAGAATGTAGTTAATATTGTCAAAATTATATATATATATATATATATATATATATATATATTAGGGCTGTCAGTTAAACGCGTTATTAACGGCGTTAACGCAAACCCATTTTAACGGCGTTAATTTTTTTATCGCGCGATTAACGGTCTTTTTGGCCTAGCAAACTTGGTAGTTTTTTTCACATGCTTTTGCAACAGGACGCGGCATGCGCTGCGCTATGAAACCCATTCATTTCAATGGCTTGCGCCGCGCGAGGACATTTTGTTGCTTCGTCGACCAAAGCGCAAGCGGATCTAGCTAGACCGGAAACAAAACAACAGGCACGCCGCACACACTCGTTTGGGCTTGCGAGCCGGCCAAATAGCTAACGTTACGTTTTGAGTGGATGACGAGCGCGAGACGCCGAAATAGATGCCAATAAGATTCTGAATGGAAAGTTTAGTTTTAAAAAGTTGCCAAATGGTTCCATTGACAAGACCAAAGTGATCTGTGTATTTTGTCGTTGTGAACTGAGCTATCATCATCGCAGCACGTCCAGTCTGAAATACCACTTTATGGCCAAGCACACACACACACACACACAAACACAGCTGATGCGAATTCTCCGCCCCCTCGTCAATATCAGGACCTCGTCAATATTTCTTTCACCATTTTATTGATGGACAATGTTACATTGTGTGAGAGATTATTTGCTCCAAGTGAGAATGTTTTAGTGTGAAATTGAACACAGTATATGCCAATGTTGTTTTCAATAAAATACATTTGCACAAGGCAAGCCGATCCACTTTTCCATGTTGATAAGAGCATTAAAATGAGAAAAATAATGTGACAAAAAGAAATCAAGACACATTTAGAATAGATAAAAATGTGCGATTAATTGCGATTCATCGCGAGTTAACTATGACATTGATGCGATTAATCGCGATTAAATATTTTAATTGTTTGACAGCACTAATATATATATATAAAAAATTGACCTGTATATACTTTTTTTTGTATGATACAAGATGTGTTTTTGTTGAAATGTCCGATAACCGGTATGCAGAAGTGTTATATATATATATATAACACTTCTGCATACCGGTTATCGGACATTTCAACAAAAACACATCTTGTATCATACAAAAAAAAGTATATACAGGTCAATTTTTTCTTACTTCAGCCAGCACAACTAAAAAAACAAACAAACAAACAAACAAACAAACAAACAAACAAACTAAGAAGCAGCATAATGGCAAAGAAAAAAGTTGTACAGTAGGTTCAATCGCAAATAACAGTGATCCAGAAAATATAAAAAGGCTTTTTTGCATTCTTCTTCTTATGCCCGTGAGAGATCATCACAGCAATAAGAGCATTGCAAGAAACTTTAAATTAAAATGCATCTGCTAAAGAGGAAGAAACCAATTAATATTAAATATATAAATAATAAATCCCTTTACCTAGTTAGAAAACAATCATTAACAGAAGAAGTAAAGTTTCCAGCAAAATAATGAATTAAAATATGACGCAAAAAAACCTCAACAGACCTTGCAGGTTAATCATGGATATCTGATCAAAACGCAGATGAGTATCTAGCATTTTTACATAAATAGCTCCTTCACTGGATCAAAATACTATCTAATTTGCTCATTAAATCCTAAAAAGGAAATGTGTAAATGCAGTTTGCTGTCTGTCTGCCCCCGGAACTGCCTAATGAGCCATTTAAAAGGATATGGGATCACTCGGCCCAATAAAATAACAGGTGAGAGGCATACTGCATTACCATGGCAATGATTAGAGGCCCATTAAAACCATGGGAGGCAACTCAGAAGTGATCATATCTCTAAAAATGTCTGTCTTTGAAGTGTAGAGCAGGCTCCGGTCCCAGTGCGATACGATTCTTTGTTTAGATGCTCTGACGTGGGCGCGCTGGATAAATGCTCGCCTTCACAAAACACATTAAAGCTGCAATTCAGAGTAATGTGTGTAAACAATATATAATGTGAACTGCAGCAGTACTCGTATATTTACACATATCTCATAGGCCTTCAAGTCCTAATATTTGATTTATAAGCTGAGCAGGATGTCATTTTTTGTGACATTGTCGAGACAATACAACAAGGAGAAATGATGGTCATATTTTGCTGTTCAGGACCATCATTTTCATTATTCATTTTATAAAACGGAGGAAAGAAAGTCATTTGGATGGTGGCATGAGGGTGGGAAAATGGTGACAGAATTTTTTTAATTTTTTTATCCCTTTAAAGGTGCCCTAGAATGTTTTTGTTTATTATTTTATAATGTTTCCTGGGTTACCCTTATAATGTTAGTATGTTTTTTAGATAAAAAATAATCATAATTTAGAAATAAATGGCATTTTTCCTAGCCTGCTTTTAGCCTCTGATTTGAACACTCTGTTTGAAGGGGCGTGTCTGCTGTGGGATTCAGTGTAACCGCGGCCACTGCTGTGATTGGCTGACATGCTTGCATATGAAATAGCTACGCATTACATGTGAAACTCTCTTCCGAATACTTTTACTACTGCTATTATACGTTTTTACTATAACAGCTATCGAGATTAACGAATCGTGAGATGTTTTTAAAGTATTTAGATCTATTCCCATCACATAAAAAGTTGCCGTGATGAGCATTGAGCAGATGACAGTGTGTTGATCGCGAGAATGAAGATCTTATCATTGCAAAGCAGTTTATGCACTCTCTCTGCTTTCACCAATGCAAACACGATGATGTAAATACAGTAATAGCTTCGTTGTGCAGTAACGTGCGTCATTGATTTCATAACGAGTTTGGCAAGTGTCCAGATAAACTCGCGCTGTGTGGAAAGATTGTTCTTTGATCGCTTTCTGTATATAATTTGTTCACAATTTAAATACGATTATTTTCATCCTACTAAAAGAAACGATGTGAAGCTGATATTTTAGTCACTGGCTTGACTTACTGATGCATAAACAGTATTGAACGATTTTGAGAGAAAGATTACCTGTCTGAACTTGAACAATTACACATCAGAAAGTGTTGCTTGGTAGCTCGATCCGAGGCCAGCTCTGTATTGGCCCAAGTTGAGGAAACAGTCGGTGAAATGTTTGGAAATTTCCAGAGAAAATAAAATTAACCCATTGTTTCTTCAGAGGCTCAGATGAAGGAACTAAAAAATACTTTTGTGTTCATGTGTACATCCACACTGAGCAACTGCCATGCTTCGGCTGCGCAGTTCCGCCTGGCATTGAGGGCTGGCATTATGCAAATATTTGGACGCGTACATATTAATGATCCCGACTATTGCGTCACAGTCGGTATTGTGTGGAGAACCGACCGTTTTTCAGGGGTGTTTTTCATAAACGTGAATTAAATGAGAACGCGAAAACAGTCCAGTTTGAGATTCACTCTATGTCATGTCCATGCACTGAACTCTTGTTATTTGACTATACCAAGGTAAATTCAATTTTGAATTATAGGTCACCTTTAAGAAGTGAAAAGCTGTGATAGTAGTCGGTTTTTCTAAATCAATGAAGGCTTTTTCTCAGTTTTCACACTCTTTCTCAGTTTCTTTGTTTAGACTGGTTTCATAACATTAGAAAAGCTGAAAATAGGTTTTGTTGCGCTACAGGTGTGGGCTTATGGGTCAAACATGTTGATGGCACCTTTATCCGTGTGTGTGTGTGTGTGTGTGTGAGAGAGAGAGAGAGAGAGAGAGAGAGAGAGAGAGAGAGAGAGAGAGAGAGAGAGAGAGAGAGAGAGAGAGAGAGAGAGAGAGAGAGAGAGTCTGTGAGGAGGTGTGGACAGGCCGGGAGCAGGGGGCCTTATGGAGATCACACAGGTGTGAAAGGCACCCTCAGGCCTGCAAAAGGGGGTTGTGGGTGGAGGTGATGAAGGTGGTGAAGCAAATGATGATGTCGCTGTCGAACAGACCGAACAGCAACTTACTGCAGATTGTTTGGCCCTAAAATATCCCCCTAAAACATATATAAAGAGATCAACCTTCTCCTGACAATGCAATGACTCTGAGATTTTGCAAACAACAGCTTTGCTGCCACAGCCCACATCTGCAGTGCAACAATCTATTTTCAGCTTGCCTAATATTATACAAATTAAAAGAATAATTTTTAGAAGACATTTCCTTTTTTATTGAAATGTAAGCAGTTCAAGCCTAGTGAATAATCTGAAATGTTACAAAAGTAATGGGTAACTGTCAGAGGTTAAAGAAGGAAAAATTATACTATGCCGATTTGGTGCCCAAAAAACATTTCTTATTATTACCAATGGTGAAAACAGTTATGTTTTAATGTTTTTGTTTTTAAACAGTGATCATCTCGTTCCAGGATTCTTTGATGAATAGAAAGTTCAAAAGAACAGAATTTATTTCAAACAGAAATCTTTTGTAACATTATAAATGTCTTTACTGTCACTTTTGATCAATTGAATGCATCCTTTCTGAATAAAAGTATTCATTTCTTTCAAAAATAGATATATTACTGACCTCGAACTTTTGAACAATATGTTTGCTTCTAGAATGTAAGTTGTGCTAACCAAATGAAAGCAGCACACCATTACTCGTCACTCAAAATGATCCACAGAGACTTCTCTAAGATAATGTTTTAGTTCCCGAGGCATGCTGGTACTCAATCGATAGCTCTCCTCAGAGGACTCAAAGTCTGATGGAGAAGCTAGAACAGCCCGTTCTGTTGGACAAAGACCCAGCCATCGGTACGAGACAAACCTGATCCTTGCGGGACCACTAAATCTGTTGTAGTCAGATTGCAATCTATTTTTATGCGATTGTGTTCCAGAAGATTCTATGCTTTGATGGGAAGAAGTTATTTCCCATTATAAATTTTAAATTAGAATCTGAGATCATGAATAGTGCGTATCCATCTGGTAAGCCTAAAACATCACCAATAGTAGTGTTTTCAAAAGTACCGACTGCAATTTTAAAATTGTGACGCTTTGAGCGCTGTTGAGTGGAATCGTAAACACCACTGATTGGCCATTGTGTTCACACGCTCATCGGATATGTCTGTGATTGGCTACAATAATCAACACACGGGAGCGTTTGAGAGCACATGGAAGTGTTTTGAAAGCGGGATCGGGAGTGTTTGAAGGCACAAGCAGGCGTCTATCAGCAGAGCGAACTAGGTGAAGAGCGTCATTGATGTATATTTACAACATGTTTTTCAAGCGCTGATCATTGTAGCCAATCACAGAAATATCTGATGAGCATGTGAGTACAATGGACAATCACAGGCGTTTACAATTCCGCTCAACAGCGCTCAAAGCGTCACATTTTTTATATTTCAGTACCGACTTGGTACCGAAGTCAGTACTTTTTGACATCTCTAACCTATAGATAGTGATGCATAATATTAAAGGAATAGCTCACCCAAAAAATTAAAATTTTGTCATCACTTAATCACCCTCACATTATTCCAAACCTGTATGAGTTTCTTTCTTATGCTTAACTCAAAAGAAGATATGTTTAAAGAATGTTAGTAACCAGACAGTACATATTTTCCTACTATGGAAGTCAATGGCTGCCGTCAACTGTTTGATTACCAACATTCTGTAAAATATCTTCTTTTGTGTTCAACAAAGAAACTCATACAGCTTTAGAACAATTTGAGGGTCAATAAGTGATTTTGGGGTGAACTATCCCTTTAATAAAATTAGTAATCATTGTTGCAGATAGCGTGATCATATACTATACAGCTAGCAATAGAATGTGGAACAGACATTAGCATAGCTACTTCAGGAATTGAAAAAAGCTGTGATAATTTTCAAACAGCAAAAATAAAATTGCATACATTTTTCCAGCCCTGAAGATTTGCTAAATGTAAGATGATGGCAAACGTAATCTAAAAATAGAGGAAATTAACTATTAAATATGCCATACTTTAATTGTCCAATAAATTAATTCTCTTATGTCGGGCAATAAACATTATGGAACCGATATATTGTGCATCCTTATCTAAAAGGAGGTAGAAAGACCAAATGCTCTTGTTTGCATTTCTGCTCATATCTCAACTGGTCTTCCAGCAGTATTTTCTTTTTTATGCGTGTTGTTTGTTTTTCCTTCCTCTCCATTAAGCTTCTGCGCCGAGGTCTCGCGGCACATGCATTGTTTGTTAGCAGCCTGGGCAAACATAAAACATACTCTGCTACACATGAGAGATAACTGCTTGATAAAAGCTGAAGATGGAGGGCTGGAGGACATACAGTACTAAAACCCAAAATGCCCATTAACCCCTATTCATTCCCCAAACCAACAGCATTTACTGCACTATCAAAATGCCTTCCGTTTTTTTTTTAGAGAGACAGGTCGGTTCAGCATCAGCACGTGCCTTTAGATTTGCTGACTTGCCTTCTTTTTGCGCTCTGTGATTCTCTGTTTTGGCAGCCTGCAGCAGTGTGTTCTCATAAACAAACACATTCGGTGATGTCTGCAGACAGGACACTCTCTGCATACCAAATATCTCCCTACCTCTTATCTGGTTCTCATTCTGTCAGCGGCATCGCATGTTTAGCATTACTAGCCTCTAATCCCAAGTTGCATTCTTAAATGTTTGCCCTCCCTTCAGCCTCCCACAGGCAGTTTGCAGCAATGAAAGCAGGCCTATCTCTCTTTTGACTTGGTGATCACAAAATGGCCTTTACAACTCTTCAGCTTTAGGAAATGATGGCTCAATATAAAATGACATGCCTAGATTGTGCTAGCCACAGTAGCTTTTTTAGTGAAACATGTTACAGAATTGTAAAGAGGCCAACCAAACACTGCGCTTGGACCCAAGCAAAGCCTGGTTAACACAAACTTACCGTCACTCCAAAGAAGTTGGTTTCGTTCATCACGTCCAGGACCATCTTGCCCACCTCTCGGTCATCCACCGTGAAGTTGTGGTACATGTCGTGCCTCTCCTTGTGTCTGAGGAGCTCCATGACACGGGTGAGGGTCTTCGCTATCACCCAGATGCCATCATAGGCAAAGCCGTGAAACTTGCTGGGCTCCACTCCTTTCTGCTCTCGCTCCCGGTTGTACTCCCTCGCGTACTCCTGCGGCGTCTGAACACACACAGGTAGAGCAGCACTGCTTCACAAATAAGGAAGCCCAAGATGATCAAAAGGGAGAAATCTTTTAAAAATGTAGTTTGAAACATATGGACCAGGTTCTTGAGACTTCCATTTTTTTAAATCATCAATACTGTCTTCTTCTACTTAACATTGATTTTAATTACAAAAATGTCAATTGGTAACAATCAGGTAAAAGTCTCTTATGATAACAAAGGTGGCATTTATTTGATTGATAATAGGGTGAACGCAGTAATATTGTGAAATATTATTACAATTTAAAATACATGTTTTCTCTTTTAATATATTTTAAAAAGTAATTCATTCATGTGATGCAAAGCTGAATTTTCACCATCATTACTCCAGTCTTCAGTGTCACATGATCCTTCAGAAATCATTCTAATATGCTGATTTGCTCAAGAAACATTTATTAATATTATCAATGTTGAAAATGTTTTGTGTGTGTGTGTGTGTTTGTGTGTGTGTGTGTGAAAACAGTGATACATTTTTTTCAGGATTCTTTGATGAACAGAAAGTTCAAAGAACAGCATTTATTTGAAATTTTAATATTTTGTAACAATGTTTAAATTTTAAATGTAATCATCATTGCATCTTAAATAACCATGAATGTACGTAACTTCATATTTTCAAAAAAGTTTTTCAAGGTTATAAATATGTTTTTCAAGGTTAAATATATATTTGTTAAAAATGATCAAGAATATCAGCAAGTTGGACATGCTGGTCTAAGCTGCTTATTTCAACAGGGAACATTAAGGAAAGCTGATTGAGAAACTATTGAAACTGAAATTTAAATGCAGAATTTTTTCCTATTGCACATGCTAGAATTTTTTTGTCTGTCAGAAATCAGAAATGCCATTCATAACTTGTGGGATCCCACCGCATTGCAGACACTCACTCTTCCTGATATTCCCTTTATCTGTTTGGCACTGAGGGGCTCGAAGTCCACGCTGATATAACCCTCCATGGCTGTCAGCAGCTTCTTAGTGGTGCAGTTTGTGGAGTTTGCCTGTTCCCACCAGTTCCCCTGATACCATCCTGGGATGATCCACTGGTACTTACTGCCATACATGTTAAGGTTATAAGCCTGGAGCACACACACGAGATCAGGGACTCAACAGTCATATCATTTCAAACAAAAAACAACTGTTAAGCAAACTGTATTGTAACTGTATAATGACACAGTTAAAAGTTTCTATGGCACATGTACAGTCTATTAAATAGATCCAAAATTCCTCAATTCAACAGGCCCTTTGCAGTAAATCTAAGGCTCATGGTGCATGTTATGGTGAATAAGTTTGGCTAACTTACACAGCAGAAGACCTTAGCGGCCAGATTCTCATCGAACTGACCAATGATGATCCGAACATCATTATCCTACAGAGAGGGGGCAGAGAACAGAATTTAACGGGAAGTTAATGGCTAAATTATAATAAGATTTAAATATAACATATATAATGGTGAAATGTACACTAATGTCACAATGAAAAAAAAAAAAAACCTAAGCGTGCTCGTAACCATAAAGCTGTATCCTTAACCCAGGAATTATTCCAAAATATATAACATGAAATTCCCATCTGTCATTGTTCTGAAAAACAGGTAGTCCAGCCCCATTCATGCTATTGGTTGAAATGTTGTTAGGTCACTCCCACTTGGGCCTCTCAAACAAACAGTTTGCAAATCCATTTGGAGAATAAATTATACATTTTGCGTTCAAGGAAACATGTCCCAGACACTGGAAAAGTAGTGCACACACTCCACTCACTTGTATGGAAATACAAATACAAATCCTTGGGCCAATTCACAATCCTGTTATCCATCTCTTCCGTATCATTTTTGTCTGTTCTTTCTCTGACTCTATTAGTAAAATGCCAAAATGCTTCAAAAATAAAAGCAAGCAGAATTTTCATGAGAAAAGCTGTTAAAAGAAATAGGGTGTGTAGCTTTGCTAGGTGAGAAATAAAGACCACATTTATTTGTCACAATAGTATCAGCAGTATGAATTGCTTCATATCCAGAAAGAGAGAGAGATCTGCATCTATAAACAGCATTTATGCTGCATGATTGAGTCTGTAAATAATTTAGCCCACTTCAGCATTCTTTCCTTTCCACCTTGTCCAGTTCTGCATCATGAAGATCAATCCATCACTAGAGCAGGATGAAGCCAAGACTGAATCCATGAAAATGCTCTGGACGCATTTGTCATGTGCTAAGGGCTATGCTAATATTCGAGATATAAACCTGCATATTCTTCTGAGGTTATTAAGTATCCTTTTTTCTCATTCTGCGCATCAGGATCTAATAACATCCCTCTCCACCCTATTAACTATATTGCCCTTGATTCTAGCAAATGCCAATGAAAATTTCAGGTGGAAGTCAGACAGCCTTGTTTGAGGGTCGCCGCAGCCCCATCCATCAAAAGATGTCTCACAGTTGCCAGGATATTGAGATGCCCACCAGCGACTTAGAGAAATCATCTCTGAATGTATTTTTTTTTTTTGCTTTTTCCTCTTGGGATGTCATCCTCAAGCAGAAGGCTACGGGAACAGCATTTAACATGCACAACTAATGAGCTGCTCAAGATGAAAACTATCATGTTTAAGCAGAAGAGAAAATAATGACTCCTGTGGGTGGGCTAGCAACATCTCTGAAAAAAGTAGCGTTTACAGGTAAGATCACAGCGGATGCATTAAAACTGATCCCAGGCCTGCTCTAAACTCGACAATAGTGACATAAACGGCATTCGCAATGGAGTCGCATTCAAACACTGTTTGAAAGTGAATGTGTGGCATGTGGCAAACAGTTTCCTTCAAATGTTTCTCAGAGACTGTCTCATTTGCCACAAAACCACACTCTGCAGTGGTGCCAAAGAACACGCTGAGATATTGGAACTATTGTGCGAAATACTCCTGCATCTCTTTTCAGGACCGAACGCTTGGGTCAAGCGCTTCTTGCTTCATAATCAGCAGCCGTCACAAAGCCCGACGGCGTGGACACTTAACCTGAATCTGTCCAGCTGTGTAAGTGGCTCCAGCTGTCCTGGAGTCCTGGCAGACACAAGCTTCTTACACCCAGTCAAAAAGGAGGCTGGATCGACGCCAGGCTGCCCCAAGACGTCGCTCACCACTCGCTTTGCTTTTATTAAGAGCATGGTTGTGAGACTTTCCCACATTTACATAGCAAAGGGTAGCCCATCTACAGTGGATGTGTGTTTCAAAACTCTGATAAAAGTCTCTTTGTTTATATATAATGCAACACGGGTGACTGCCGGCCCAGACTCGGTGCACAGCCGTTTCAATGTGAAATATAAAGTCGAATTTACAGACTCTAAGAGACGCTGTCAACTAGTCAAAAATCTGACTGTGCAAAATTTGAAGAAACATTTCTTCAGCAGTTCTTTGCCATTGGGGGAATTGCGATAATAGAGGTACTAAGTCAGGCAGGTAATAGAAACCATAACAAAAAAATGACTCAGCAAAAAAGGTGGGAACAAACCTTTAGTTGGAAAATTGCAAAGTAAGAGAAGCAGCAGTCAACAATGGAACCATGGCTATTCAGATCATACACAGACCCAAATAAATTGATCATGGCATTCCTGCCACTGTATTTGTTTATGATAATAATGACTAAGAAAATATCTCTTCAAGAGTCATCCAAAGTTTAACCTGTAATGATTAAAACAATGACACCGCAACTCATTAGTATATCATTAGCATAAAATGGAATAATTAATATAATAATTAGCTTCATAGGGAACTGTCAAAGCGTAATGTGGCTGAACAGAAAGTGAGAAACAGACTATGAAGAAAAAGAAAAAATAAGTTATTTTGCATTATATAAAAAACATAAATTGCACTGTTCCCTTTCGAGGGAACTCGCGATGCGTCACTTGACGCTTTGGGAACGCCCCCAGCGTGCATGCGTCTGAGCATCAATGTCAACTAGTCCAATGGAAAGAATGAGCGTCACGGGCGGGTGACGTCATGACCAGGAAGGGATAAAGGCTCACCCGGTGAAACGCGGCATTAGCTTCTGTGTCTCAGCAAGCGATTTGTGTCATTTTGTCTCTGTCTATTTACTGTTGTCTGTTGCGGAAAAGGATGGAAACTAAACAAGTGTACAAACAGTGTGCTTCTCCCTGCCCGCGTTATTTAACGGGTGGGGACACACACGAGCTTTGTGTCGTTTGTTTGGGAGTGGAGCATGCGGTCTCAGCCTTCGAGGGGGCTGAGTGCCAGCATTGTGAGATGTTACCGCTTCGCATGCTCCGCTCTCGCCTGTCACTCTTTGATAAAGAGAGTGGGCAGGCTCGCGATCCACAGGGATCAGGACCCGCGTCTGCTGAGGCAGCGCGGAGAATGCATTCCTGGGGATCGCAAAAGGATCTTTCGGAGGGGTTGGAGACGGGTCCGAGGGCTCTTTCTCCTTCCTTACCCGAGAGATCCAGTGCTCTCTCCCCGGTGTCGGAAGCACGCTCTGCGGTTTCTTCTGCCCGGGGAGAGAGCCCTCCATTACTTTATTGCTCTTCCTCCGAGGAGGTTGATGCGATGAGTGTGGAGAGTGTAAGCACACACATGGGGGAAAGAGATTCACAATTTATTTCCCCAGCATATGATGAGCTGGTGGATGTTATGTCGCGGGCTGTAGAGAAATTAAATATTGAATGGCCATCTGAGAAGAAGGGCGCTCGTCCTAAAAGCAAATTAGATGAGCGCTTTTTATCTTCCACCACATTATCTCCACCACGAGGGCTTCCATTTTTTCCCGATTTGCACAACGAAATTTCTAAATCGTGGAATAAACCATATTCATCACGTCTTTTCAGCCCTCATGTTAACACTTATTCGAGAATAAGAGGGCTGAAAGAGTATGGTTATGAGGCGATGCCCCAGGCGGAAGAGAATTTAGCCAGTTATCTTTCCCCTGGTCCCGCATCGTCTCTGAAAGCCTCGGCTTTGCCCACTAGACCGCTTAAAGCCACTTCGGTGTTAGTGGGCAAAGCTTATACGGCAGCAGGTCAAGCTGGAGCATGTCTGCATACTATGGCTGTGCTCCAGGCTTATCAAGCTGACCTGCTGGGGGATCTGGATAGTAGTGAGGGAGTCAGTCATGACGATATTCGTGAACTTCGTCGGGCTACCGATCTTTCTCTCAGGGCTACTAAGGAGACCGCCAGAGCAATTGGGCGGTCTATGGCAGCCTTGGTAGCTACTGAGAGACATTTATGGTTAAATCTGTCTGAGATTAAAGAAAAAGATCGAGCTTTTTTATTAGATGCTCCGCTTGAACCTTCTGGTCTCTTCGGCGACGCAGTCCACGCGGTCGTCGAGAGATTTCAGGAGTCAAAGAAACAAGCGGACGTTTTTAAAAAGTTTATCCCTCGCCGGGTCCAGCCCCCTGGGACTGCTGGGCGTGAGCAGCCCCAGCCGTCGAGCTCATCATATCGTGTGCATCAGAAAGAGAGTGTTGCGTCTCGTGCACCTCCACGTAGAGACTGGAGACGGACGCAACCCTCTCAACCGAAGTCTTCTAAGTCGAAGCCGGATCTGAGGACCGTTCTTCAGGCGAAGAAGACTTCGGTTAAAAAAAAAAAAAGGTCCTGATGTTCATGCATCAGGCCTGTGAGGACAGCCCCGACCGAAGTGGAGCGGTGTACACCTCATTATACGGTGCCCGTTCCATTTCGGGGTCCTCACGAGACCGTTCTACCAACCCTGCCACCCTTGGTGCTTCAGGGCGCAGCGGTCTCCAGCGAGTCGCTGATGCTATGCTGCGGCACAGCATCGGTTTCGCGCCCTCTGAGGGGGGCCTTAGAGCGGCCAGTTCAGGTAGTTCCTGCCATTATGTTTCTCGATAACACCACTCGAGAGGCTGGTTCCCTTAGTAAATTTTCTGGCAGCGTGGAAGCTTCTGCCGAATATTTCTCATTGGGTCCTGCAGATTGTAGAGAAAGGATACAGAATCCAGTTTGGTTCTCGTCCTCCTCGTTACAACGGGGTGCTGCCCACAGTGGTGCATCCCGAGCAGGCTCTGGTAATGGAGCAAGAGGTAAAGGCCCTGTTAGCAAAGGAAGCTATAGAACAGGTGTACTCACCCTTTTTTACAGCCGTTATTTCAGGTTTTTACAGCCGTTATTTCATTGTTCCAAAAAAGGATGGGGGGTTGCGTCCCATTTTAGATCTTCGTCTGTTGAATCGTTCAGTACAGAAACTCAAGTTCAAGATGCTGACACTCAAACAGATCGTGACTCAAATCAGGTCCGAGGACTGGTTTGTCACGATAGATCTGAAGGACGCCTACTTCCATATCTCCATCCTCCCTCAGCACAGGAAGTTCCTAAGGTTTTCTTTCGGGGGCAAAGAATACCAATATCGGGTTCTTCCTTTCGGTCTAGCTTTATCACCCCGCACGTTCACGAAATGCGTGGATGCAGCTCTAGCCCCTCTCAGGCTTCAGGGCATACGTATTCTGAACTACATCGACGACTGGCTGATTCTGGCGGAATCAGAGCAGTTGGCGGTTCGGCACCGAGGTGTCGTTCTCGCCCATATGCAGATGTTGGGGTTGAGGCTCAACGCCAAGAAGAGTGTTCTTTCTCCAGTACAGAGAACCACTTTCCTTGGTGTGGTATGGGATTCAGTGACGATGCGGGCCACTCTATCGCCCGTTCGTGTAGCTGCTATCCTGACAGCCACCAAAGAGCTAAAGCTAGGCCAGTCACGCACTGTGAAACAGTTCGAGAGACTGTTGGGTCTCTTGGCGGCAGCGTCCAACGTGATTCCTTTTGGCCTGCTGTACATGAGACCTTTACAGTGGTGGCTAAGGACCAGAGGGTTCTCCCCGAGGGGAAACCCACTTCGTATGATCAAGGTCACGCGGCGGTGCCTTCGTGCCTTAATTATATGGAGGAAACATTGGTTCTTAACCCAGGGTCCGGTATTGGGAGCTCTTTGCCATCGTGTTACGATCTCGACAGATGCTTCCCTCACCGGCTGGGGAGCGGTAATGGAAGGCCGCTCGGTTCAGGGTCTGTGGAAAAGTCATCATCTTTCGTGGCACATCAATTGCCTGGAGATGATGGCTGTCTTCAATGCGTTGAGACAGTTTCTCCCAGACCTGAGGGGCCATCATGTGCTTGTACGAACAGACAACACATCAGTGGTCTCTTATCTGAACCGTCAGGGGGGTCTGCGGTCGCGTCCGCTCTGCAAACTGGCGCACCAGATCCTCCTGTGGTCTCTGGGGAAGGTACTCTCCCTGAGGGCAGTGTATATTCCTGGGGACCAGAATGTGGGGGCAGACATCCTGTCGAGGCAGGAGCTGAGGCCAGGGGACTGGAGACTCCACCCCGAGGCGGTGGAGAAAATTTGGGAGTTTTACGGCCAAGCAGAGGTGGATCTGTTTGCGTCTCAGCACACGACGCACTGTCCACTTTGGTTCTCCCTTACTCACCCAGCCCCCCTGGGGCTGGATGCTATGGTGCAGACGTGGCCGAGGCTACGTCTGTACGCATTTCCCCCTGTTGCTCTGCTCCCAGGAGTTCTGGAACGAGTCCGCCAGTACGGAATAAGCCTACTGCTTGTAGCACCATGCTGGCCGAGTCGGATCTGGTTTGCGGACCTGATCCATCTCTTAGACGGTCCTCCCTTGGAGATCCCGATCAGGAGAGACCTTCTGTCTCAGGCCGGGGGCACAATATTTCACCCTCGACCAGAGATTTGGAACCTGTGGGTTTGGCCTCTGAGGGCTCTCTGGCTGCTGAGACCATCCTAAGCTCCAGAGCTCCAGCTACTAGGAAACTATATGCGCTGAAATGGAAAGTTTTTTCTGTATGGTGTCACCGACATCAGTGGGATCCGATTAACTGTTCTGTGAACACAGTACTCGAGTTCTTGCAGGAGCGCTTTACGTCAGGTTTATGTCCTTCCACACTTAAGGTTTACGTGGCGGCCATTGCGGCTTACCACGCCCTGGTTGGGGGTACATCGTTGGGTCGAGACCCCCTGATTACACGTTTCCTTCGTGGCACATTGAGGCTGAGGCCTGCAACTCGCACTAGGGTGCCAGCTTGGGATTTGGCAATAGTACTAGAAGGCCTGTCTAGGGCTCCATTCGAGCCCTTAGATTCGGTTTCAGAGAAATTTCTTACCCTTAAGACTATCTTTCTGCTAGCTATTTCGTCCCTTAAGAGAGTTGGAGACCTTCAGGCCCTTTCGGTTTCCCCCACTTGCCTTGAGTTTGCACCGGGGATGGTCAAGGCATTCTTATATCCAAAACAGGGATACGTCCCTAAGGTGCCGACCTTGATTCCGAGGCCTATCGTGCTGCAGGCTTTCTGTCCTCCTCCTTTTACATCTGCGGACCAGGAAAGGCTGAACCTCTTGTGTCCAGTGCGAGCACTGGATACTTATGTTCATCGGACATCTTCTATGAGGAAGTCCGACCAGTTATTTATTTGCTTTGGATCACCTAAGAAGGGTCTTCCTGCTTCTAAACAGACGGTTAGCAAGTGGATAGTCGAGGCTATTTCACTTGCATACGAGTACTCTGACCATCCGTGTCCCTTGGTGGTCAGAGCTCACTCAACGAGGGGTATGGCGGCCTCTAAAGCCTTGTTATTTGGGGTTTCCCTCCAAGACGTTTGTGATGCGGCAGGCTGGTCCTCACCGCTCACATTCGTCAGGTTTTACAGTTTGGACCTGGATGCTGCCCCAGGTTCTCAGGTGCTTAGTGCTTAGTTCCAACAGACTGACACTCAGGTACTTGGAATTCTGGCGTTTTGGGTATTCTCGTTCCCAAAGCGTCAAGTGACGCATCGCGAGTTCCCTCGAAAGGGAACGTCTCAGGTTACTACTGTAACCATAGTTCCCTGAGAAAGGGAACGAGACGATGCGTCACCCTGCCATACTTCCTGCTTCCCTGTGATCGGCTTGCTTCGACTTTTTGAAGCTAATGCCGCGTTTCACCGGGTGAGCCTTTATCCCTTCCTGGTCATGACGTCACCCGCCCGTGACGCTCATTCTTTCCATTGGACTAGTTGACATTGATGCTCAGACGCATGCACGCTGGGGGCGTTCCCAAAGCGTCAAGTGACGCATCGTCTCGTTCCCTTTCTCAGGGAACTATGGTTACAGTAGTAACCTGAGACGTTTTCTCAAGGAATTTGTAAAAAATAATTGATCTTATTATATTCCCTAATTTGTCTTATTTGTGTCTTTTTTCAGCACACACATTGTTAAAATGAGACTAATTTGCCAACTGGCAATTTTTTTTAGGCACAAATGTAACAAAATTAACAAGAATTTCTTTACTTTTTTTTTTTTTTATAAGAATTGGCCCAAGCTGAATCTGAACTCTGGTGACTTTCACACAAGTGAGTGTGTTAGTGATGCGCGGGTCGGCTTTTTTTCCAACCCGCGGGTCCCGCTTTTATGAAATTATTTGGCCCGCCCCAGCCCGCACCGCACCACTGTATCTATTTTTACAACCCGACCCGCCCCGCACCCGCGACCGTTAAATAGACATACTACTAGGCATTGTAATGTAAATGAAAACAGCCTTTATTTCAGCCTGAAAATGCTTGGAAACAACGCCCTGTAAACTGGCAACAAGAGACGATTATGAATATGAATCATAAATCAGGTCATATTAATACGATACTAATAAACATTTTCAACATTTACAAAGCGTTTGTATTCATCTATAGGCTAAACCATTTTTTATTTCTTAGACCCCCCACAAATATGTCTTGACATGCTGGAATTCAAGTGCCTGTTTTGTGGCACTACTGTTTGTACATTTTTCACGCGAGTTGCACTTCAGGTAGCCGATCTAGCTACTGTTGTCTCCTGCTGCAACTATTTCTGAGAACAGCTCCCAAACATTAGATTTAGCAGCCTAACCTTATTTTTCTTTTCAATTTAATCAGTTAAAATCCCGACCTCAATTTCTCCCGCACCTCGTCTTCCCTCTTCACTTTTATTTATCCGTTGTTGTTGTTGTCGTGGCTGGCGGCGGGAGCTGCAGAGCTGCTTGGCGCGCCGCTTTCGTGACGTGTCACGTGACGACAAAGGTTTATGGACCTCACGCAAGTTAAGTTGCTACGGCATTCGTATTGTAACCTTATCAAATAACCTAATAAAATAAGAACATAGATATTCCCAAATATTTAACATAGGCTGGAAATTGCAAGCAACATACATGGATTAAAAATAATGACCCGCCCCAACCCGCTCCGCAAAAATAAAGTGACAATTTCTTTACCCGCCCCAACCCGACCCGCGGGTTACCCGCGGGGTCCGCGGGTTACGAGTTGGCCCGCGCATCACTAGAGTGTGTGCATTACATTCCAGTAGTTCAACACAGAACGTTATATATATACACACACATGAGTGGGACATTGTGAACTGTAAGCTATTTATGTTTTCTTAGTGGTGCCTGTAAGCTTTCTTACCTTCAGTTTCTTCACATTCACACAGGGATCATTAGAGAAACTCTCAGTGTCTGCAATCTGGATGTCTGCCTTCTCCAGTTCATTGGTCAAATCATTCCGCACCTGTCAGAGAGGGAGAATGAGTGAGAAAGAGAACTAGAAATGAAAGAGAACTGAATGAAAGCAGGGTTTGTGGATGGTGAACCACCCAGAAAAGTACCCAATCAAAGGCAGCACTCCCTTCCTCTGATACATGTCTCAATTCACTCTAATCTCCTGCCGATCTGACGTTCCCCCTGAATCCCAATCAGCCTGGAGCATCTGTGGAAATCTTTCCTCCAATGATCCCACTGGGCTTTGGATAAAACACGACTCCAACCAGCTCGGCTCCACACAGACTTCATCCATCCTTGTCAATGGATGCTTTTGAAAAATGGACCAGTTCCTTGCAAATAAAGTCTCAATACCTTCCGCCCTCCACAAAGATTTATGGAGTGAGTGCCGGTATATTGTTTAACACAAAAGGTGTTAAGAAAGGGATCTTTTCATGCACTCAAAACCACTTGCTGCAAAAATTCCAACCCATCAACAAGACATGGGACACACATTACCCAAGCCAGAGTACGCTGTGCTGTAAAAGGTCACAAGTACTGTTTGGTACAGGTTAAAACTCTAAGAGAAGCTTTATCTTTAAACTTATTCTCTTAAATACAGTCATACATATTAATACACACATTTTTGCCTGTTGAGTCATAGCTTTTATCAGCATCTCACTCCATAAGTGTTGTGTTTTAAAGATCTTGAGACAACTGAACCAGCCTAAATATTCAGAGATTGAATATAGTCAACCCACCGACTAGTCCATTTTGAAAATACACTACCGTTCAAAATTAATACTTTTATTCACAAGGGCACATTCAATTGATCAAAAGTGACAGTAAAGACATTAACAATGTTACAAAAGATTTCTATTTGAAATAAATGCTGTTCTTCTGAACTATTTATTCATCAAAAAATCCTGAGACAAATATTTTACAAAATTATTAAGCAGCGAATATGTAATATACAGATGTAAACCTGTTTAAACACTTGGTAAGATCTGTCGATCTGTCTCGGCTGACCACCTGTGATCAGATCACCCGGGAGTAAAACCGGGAGTAAACGGTGTCAGATTTTGGCAGAAACCTGAACTCATTCTGACAGACGTTACCTGAAAAGCCTGGCTGATCCACATTGTCTTGATTACTGATGCGCGTTGCGCATATTTGTAGCTTAATGCTGGCAGATCCTGGAAACCCCTTTCCACATGAGCAAGTGTGTGTGTTTGTTTGTGTGGGTGTACGTATCCACATATGTGGATCTCATGAGCATGTATAAGCAATAACTGTGTGCTTGTGTGTGAGCACAAGAGACCACCTGATTTAAGCAAGAGGAAAGAGAGACAGAAAGAGACACAGAGAGGGACGGGTGGGCACTGTAGTAAAGGAGCTCCAAAAGGATTATGGGATTTGAGAGCTGTCCTAAAGCTGAGGAGAAATGAGCATGATGTGATGTGAAATTCATAATGCATTTATGCACTGACCTGTCAAATGAACCCAGAGAAAAACAGGAAGCCACATAAATCAGTTAGAGAGACATAAGAGCACAATACTGGCTGTCAAGAAGCTCTGCAGGCTAATTTACCATAAACCAGACATTATTCTCCATCTCACCCAGATATACAAACCGTGTATGCCATAAATGCCTACAGTTTAAGGTTTTCAACGGAGACCACAGTCCAGATTTCAACACAACCTATTTATAATTCATTTAAATGAATTTAATAAAAAGGCCAAGAGGCTCTATCTACAGAGGCCCCCCAAAATGTTAGGGTCCAAAACATTTTAGATCACCTATATTGACAGTGTGTAGATAATATGGTGTTTTTGGCAGTTAACTAAAACTAACTGAAATATGTTTAAAGGTGCACTATGTAACTTTTTGGTTCAAAATTAATAAAATTTAAGTAACGAGTCAATATATCATCAATCTTTTGGGGTAGGCAAGGCCGGAAGGATCCATCTGTTGTATCCTTAAAGCTCCAGTCCGTAACTTTTTTAAGTTAGAAATAATCCAAAATAATTATATAAAAAAAAAACGTATTCTGCCAGTGGTCAAAACTATCTGCTTGCCATAGCTAGATTCAAAACGGTTAGCTTGTAATAATGATTTTAATTCCAGTGGTACTGGTGGGTTTTCACGGGAAATTCGAGCATGTCTTTGCGTCATTACGTCACACCCGTACACATAAAGAAGGAGTTTCGGCTAGCCGGCTATACTGCGCGTGACGAGATGTTTAGATGTATAGGCTTTTCTCGCAGCACTTCACATAATTAAACTTATGGCATCCAGAAAGATCCAAACAACAATCATCAGTGTCAACTGGAGTTTCAGCAGTTATAAAACCCAAAAGACTTCGTACTTCGGATTTAAGGTGGCTAGAGAAAGAGAAAGAAACCGTCTCATGCGAACACAAGGATTTAAACATCGGCGGGGCTTTTGAAAAGTGCGTGAACTCCGTGTTTTGAAGGGGTTCAAAACGGAAGAAGAGACGGCTTTTTTCTGCTGAACAAGTAAGACATTTCAATAGTTCAATCGTGTAACAGTACGTTTTCTTAATTCACACAGTTATGGAGTTTCCTTTGTTGTGCCTTTCTCGTTTTGCTATTATGGAGAATATGAATTCTGAACTACACAGGTAACCATAAAACACATTAAATTTAACATTAGTCACGCAATGCTGATGTTGTTAACATGAACAATTTGAGAACAAAGTAGGCTATAATTTGCACGGTTGCTGTAAATCGCGTTGATTAAATCTAACGAAGCTTATCATGTCGAATGCTTTTTCCCCCTTAGTTGGTCAGAACAAAAATGGATTTTACTTACTTGTTCAGAAGACATTTTCTTATGAAAATTCTTATGTTGGTCAAACTTTCAAAAAGTGAATCTGTGATTCTGTATGACAGTATCCACACAGCGCGGTGACTGACAGCACCACTCGCCTCAAAGCACTGTGTTCATCCGCGCTGTTTCATGCCGATTTACAACCCACGTAAAGATGATAATTCCGCGAATCACTGCAGTTACAGATTTCGAACAGAGAGATGGCGACAAAGAGGAAAAGATACGGACTGCAGCTTTAATTTTTACGGGAAGCGAAGGAGGCATTTTGAGGCCGCATTTGAAGGAGCCTTCGAATTAAGACAGCCTTCGTCGCAGTGACGCAAACGGCCTTCGAATGCGCCCTTCAAAGGACGGAGCCTTTGCATTGGGACACAGCTATAGAGTACCTTTAAGTAGAAGTACTAAAATTACTCAAACTAAATCTGAAATAAAAATAAAGCTAAAATGAAAGCTGAAAATGTAAAAATAAAAGCTAATTCAAAATATGAATAAATACCATATTCATATACTAAAATAAAACTAATAATACTAATACTAAAAATTTTGGAATAACAATACCATGTTTTTGGATCACATTTAATTAATTGGTATTAGCATTAGCTTTAGCCTCAGCGTTAGCCACACTCCTCACTTTCCAAAAGTGTTCCTTTTCTTCACGGCATCACAGATATCAACCAGTCATCATGATACCAAGCAGCAACATGTTCTCTTCAGAGCTGCCAGGCCTGTAGATGATGAATTAACAGGACTAGCGTGGGTCACAGTTTGTTGTATCGCTGCCTTATTTTTCCCTATTTTTCTAAACCCACAGCAGTCCATCATCAGCCACATTTTCCACACTGCTCAGGTCCCCGTGAGACCGAGCGCCACGAGTCTCTGATTGGCTGCGTTTGGAGATATATAGGAAGGTGTGTGAGTGTCAGCCGGGATCTTCTCTGTGATGCTGACGGCACAATGAGCTCTGACAGAGGACAGTGGCCTGATAATGTAACCCGCCACTGACAAATCTCATCTGTATATGGGCACTGAGGATGCAAACTAACATTATTTCAAATTTGAGTAGAAGCAGATGCTCAGAGATTTCTTTTTAATTGAGCTGTTTTTGAAATGTTTCGTTTTTATTAGGCATGTCTGATTTTGAATCATGTTAACTACATTTTTTACACAATACTAGAATTATTTTGAGTGCTTTGAAGCACGTTGCTAAAGTGTCAGAGTGGTTTTAAGGTAGTCAAAGGTAACTTCATGTTAAGATATGAATTAAATATATTTAAAACAATATTTATTAACACGTATACCAAATTTGATATTATTATGGTTTAATTTTGCTTACTAAAGACTGGCAAAATATTAACCATTTTATTCAGTTATATTATTGTATTTACAAAACTGTCAACCAACTACAGTAGTAAAAAAACAAAAATAAATGATATATATATACTCTACAAGAAACTACTGGTTTTGAAACTACTTTTCCTTATTACAATACCTTTATCTACCTTTTACCTTTATCTCTTAATTTATGTTTATACATTATATTATATATCTGCCATTACATTTTAAGAAAGTCCCCATATTTTGCGATCCTCTGTGTCCAAAAGTTTTTTAAAACACCTCATTTAAATGAAGACATACCAGACCGCATTATAGACTTTTATATACAGCTAATTATAAACCTAATTATAATGCTAGCCTACCCCACCTTAACCTTAAAATATTTATAATTTTACCTTTGAGAACATTCCCAAGGGGAGCTTCTAGGGACAATCTTGTCCCCAAAGAACAGCTAAGTAAACATACATGCACATTTTCCCTATTCAAGAAACCCTGGACACTCAAAACAAGCAAAGACAAGAAAAGAGAGCCTTGATGCTTAAAGATAGATTTCCTATGTGCACTAATTTTTGTCCAAGTGTTATTTTTGTATTGCAATATTCCCACTGGCCTCTTGCACCTGTGTTCTGGGGGACAGATGCGAAAGAAAGACACATTCAGCCTGATGTAACTGTGGACAAGTCTATACTGGATTGTGCAGTAGCGTCGGGATTCCCATGTCCTCCAGGAGCAGCCGACGCATCAGGATAAGTCAAACACAACGCAGGCAAAGAGCGAGAAAAAGCCAACACGTTCAATGCACCGCTGAGGCCGAGGGGACATATGCATCTATTTATAGCACA